AATCCTTCTCCTGAAGAAATTGAAAATTTGAATAGGGGTTTCTTCTGTCTGTAGACAGGTCGATAGCCCCCCATTTAACGGAACCTCCAAATTTGCGTCCTTTAAGAGATTTTGGACCCATTTTTAACCGAATTCGTTGGAATTTAGTATTTTTCGGGTAGCCCCCATATAAGGGTCCATTTCGGTATTTTATCGAAACAATTACCTAAATTATCAATATTGGTAACATTTTTGGTGTAGCCCCATATGACGGTACCCCCAAATATTCGGATCTTGAGAAACTTTATTAGTATTTCTGATCTCCAGTGGGATCCAAGATATTATTGGAAAACATTGTTTGCATATGTTCACTCAATTTTAAGATCTCGTATATAAATATACTTTCCAACATCATACGTTGTAGTATATTACCACGTGCCGGAGGATATGAAAAGTTCGGTCCGGTCGAACTTAACGCCTTTTCAAATTGTTTAAATTACAGCAACTTCGATGGGAATATGCTTCTACAACCCTAAAACCGGCTATACCCAAACGTGGACCAAATACCGTGAGGGTATCGTTATATGGGGGCTAACCTAAAAAGTGGGTCATTATAGATCATTTTTAGTAGGAGAATTTACTATCCAATGATAACCCAAATTAAAGTAAATAAGGTTGATAAATTTGGCCCAAAGCTTCAAAATATCGACTATTGGTGGTACAGTTATAGGGGACGTCCCTTAAAAGTGGGCCAAATATCCTAATAGTGATAGCAATGTATATTCAAAATTTCAGAATTCTAGCTTCAATACTGTGTGATCTATCATGATTTCAACAGACGGACTGCAGACAAGCAAAATGACATGCCGACATAGAATTGTACACAGATCAGGAATATATATACAGTCGAATTCGGATAAGCGATAGCCGGTGTATCGAAAAAATCGATTAATTGAAACTTTAAGTTTTATATTAATGTTTCGGATTAATTTTCTAACACTTTACTTTGCTTAAAAGAAAACCCGGTAAATTGAAAATCTGTACTATAAGAGAAAGACTTTTTTGTTGCAAAACACAAATATATATGAAACCAGCACCATTTTTCCAATCATCCAAGCAAATGTCTACAAAAAAAAAGAAGTTCTTACTCAATTAATTTTATAATATGATTAATAAATTTCACGAGTTTTCAGATATTGATTGAAAACTTCGTTTAAGCACAAAGAGTTTCGCTTATCCGAAGTTCTTTTAATTGAAAATCCTGCTAAAGAGAAAAAAATTTTCTGAAATTAGACGTTTTCGCTTAACCGAATTCGACTGTATATATACTTAATGAGATCTGAGGTGAATATTTCAAGGTGTTACAAAAGATGGAGGGTATATTAATAGAGAGTTGCACTACAAAATTGGTGGTGAAATTAATGTATATTAAACTTTTTATTTTCACAGAACCTCATTGAAATATTAATCTTTGATTCATTTCTCTTATACTCCCAATTACGCCAGTTCAAAAGATAACATTATTTCGAATAAAATATGTCCTGTCTTATTTGCTTACAAATTTTCAATTTGAATTTATTTGTTTATTCATATTTCATTTCCTTATTTATGAAAATTTAAGCAACAACAAAAACTGGTTCATATTTGTAATTCAAAACTAAATTCGTTTCGGTTTTAAGGCTTCTTTGCTTGGATTCACCTTTTTTGCATTAATAATCAGACTTAATGATTTTTCACACTTTTATTGCTGCACAAAAATGCAAAACAAAATATAAATCTAATTATAATGCTGCCGAAAGTATGAACTTTTTATCTGATATCTTATTTTAGTTTTACTAAATAATCATGATTAAGAGAATGATCGGTATACCAATATCAGCAGTTGGTCTGGCTATAAATAAAATCAAAAGTGCCCTAATTTAGTTTACCAACACATTACAACTGCAGATGTTATTTCGTTGGCCTTTAATATTTCCGGATATCCATTTCAGGGCAACAGACTTATGTAAATACTTTTGTGTCATTATATTGAAGATAATTTATTCGATTTCTCATGAAAATAAGCCGTTGAATATTAGGTCGTATCGTTTTGCAAAAATTTAAGAAAAAATTGCGTTTGAATTTTGCTACAGTATATTTGATATATTTCATATGTACCATTTTGTTTATTAAAATGAGTATTTTTGTTTACACTTCGACTCCCTAACATATCAGCAAATATGAATAATATATTATCGAAACTAATTTCCTTAGGTCTAGGTTCATAATTATTTCTAAGGTACAGTAGAACAGCTTGTTCCCTTAGATGTGTTTTTTACATACACAATGCTCCAGCTCTACGAAGAACTTACGGCTTTCATTTTTTCCCAGACTTGGAGATTTGCTCAGTTTGTTGAAGAATTGGGTGAGATTCCAGGTTCGGATTGGTTAGATGTTGCAGAGAGTATCTGCCGGATTAGAAATAGAAAATCGCCAAGTATGGGAGGGAGGAATGTTTGAGATCGTTAGCTGCCTTCTTTAAGGTTGATGCTTATGCGGATGATTTGCTCATCATGATTCTTGTACTCTTTTATCGATTGAAATAGCATGTTGATACCGTCAGCCGCTTTTTGCGTCCCTAATGGGTGGATCTAGTATATATGAGGGATTGTTGTTGCCTGTGCAAATTATGGTTGGTTGCTTGGGACAGAAAAGTTCCTTCGTTATCAGCAGGTCGATTTCCAGTATGTCATACTGACAGATGAGTTTTAAGTCTGGCTTGGCGAGGTGCCGGATTATGGTCTCAGGCCTGTTGGAGTATGATGTTTGTAGGTGGTGGATACAACGGCATTTACATTAGAACTTTTTTACCGGGTTAACCTACTTGATGAGGATTTATTTGACATATATGCAAATGAATTGACAATTGAAACCCACTGGGTTAACGAAATACGGTTAAATGTAAACGTACTATAAGATTGAAAGAGGGGGGCATACCAATTTCTTCGTGAAGCAATGATGGTTTTCTGCTGCTTTTCTTCTGAACGAGAGTGGATCTCTAATGTGTTTTTGGCTGTCCCAAACGGATTGATGTGAGTAGGGGATGACAATGCATTGGAAGCATATGCTGACATAATGCGGCTAATAAAATATCATTACACATTTAGTAGTAGTACAAGTTTATTGTGGGTATAACGAATAGAGTGGCTGAGTAAGTGTTCATTAGGGCACATAAAGATGATCGCACCAATAGTTGCTTAAGTAGATTTTTCTCGTAAAACGTTTAGAAGGCAGACTGTACTTGGTGGAGGTGGTCTTTGTAGATAGTCACCCTGGAGAAAGGCGTTTATGCAGGTTGTGCCGGGTGGTAGTGGCTGCAATTAGATATATTCATCATGGACTGTTGTTATCGATGTCGTTTCCCTGTTTCCTATTGAGGATGTGGAGAAGACTATTAGTGAGGATGGCTTCGTTGAGTGTAGGCGTTGTGTTGTCCGTTGCCGCGGTCCGTGTGAGTTCTTTATTGTTTTATTTCTTTTTATACCCTTCACCACACTGTGGCACAGGGTATTATGTCTTTGTGCATATGTTTTTGTATTCGGATATCAGCTCAGACTTTGAGTTTGAGCGGAGATTTCCGTAGGATGAAATTTGGCACAGATATACATCCAAAATATATGTTCGCCGATTTTATGTAAAAGGCACACTAAACTCCCAAAGTTTTTTCGATTAAAACGAAATGTGGAATACCGAATCATATTGAGAATATAATGAAGTTTTAATGAAACTAGCTCAAATTTTGATATAGCTGCAATATATATTTTTCCCCCATTTCATCTAAATGGTGCACTATATAACCAAAAATTGTGCAATAGCAATGTCATCTTTCACGGGATGGCTTATTGTAATGCAATATATATATATATATAGATAGATGGACAAGTCGCTGCAGCATACATGCCAAATTTTCTTCAAATCTAATTTCATACAAATGGTCAGCCCAAGTTACTTTACCTTAAAAAAATCATATTAGGAGCATATGTTGTATATACCTAAAGCGGTAAAGTCGGACCCGTCCGACTTTTGGTCTTTCTTTACTGATTTAATAAAAATATTGGGAGGTTATATTAGGACTACCCCAAAAGGGGGCGAATATTATTAATTTTTGATAGGAAGATTTGTTGCCAAATCTGAATCAAAATTCCACCTTGTGGTGGAGAGTTTAGGTGGTTTTACACCAGAAAATCCCCCCAACTGTTCTCATTATCTCGATTAAATGAATTTTTACAATGTTAAGGAACAGGAAGTCCCAAACAAATTGTTTGCAGCACAAAATTAATTTGAAATTTTAATTTTTTATAAAAGCGTTTCATTTCCAACATACAAATATACATACTCGCTTAATAAACCAGTTTATCATAAAATACGATTTTTATCTCTTTTTAATTCTTGTAAAACAAATTAAATTGATATTTTTAACATATGTCACGACTTTATGTTTATCCGTCAACTACAGTTTAAACAAGTTCTCGCAACATTTCCGACACAACAAAAAAAAAATAATTGAATCTCTACATCATGTGTATCAAACATTTCTCCCAAAACCAAAAAAAAACTTCTCTCATTAGTCTCCCAAAATCTCTGTCCCCACTAAAAATAAATAATACTCCCTCGCTCTCCCTCTCTATCTCACTCTCTGAGATTTAAACTCAGCGTTTTAAGCCATGCAACAAACAGCTACCGAATACCACCAACATTTGATACATTGTTTGTTTGTGCTCACGTCTAAGCCAAGTTCTTTCGTTGCCAACAACAAACACACGTAGTGAGAACGATTTAAAAGGTTTGAAGCCCACGGTTGGAACAAACAGTTACAAACCAGCTGTGGCGAACGTAACACAGCTTCCAACGATTTATCGCGTAACATTCGGTGGAGTTGCTTTCGGTTTTGTTTTTAAAAACATCAGATCTAAGTGAACCGTTTCTAAGCCATTTAACAACAACAAAGAAATAAGTGAAGTGACAAAGACCAGAACAACAACAAAATGAAACTTTTACCATTATTTGTGTGCCTTATGGCCATAGTAGTTATTGTTGTTGAAGCGAAATTAGAAGAAAAATTCCATTGGAAACAATTAGAATTCGATTGGCCATCTGAAAAAGCTGAAAAAGATGCAATTGCCGCAAGAGATTATGTTCCAGAAAATAATTTACCCTTGGGTTTGGAAAAGTGGAAGAATAAATTATTTATTACAGTACCAAGGTAAGACAAAAATTGAAAGGTTTTAAAGTTATGTTCGTAGAATAGAACGGAAAATTCGACATTAAATTCGGCTGGACCGAACTTTAAAACTTCTAACTAAGCATTTCCATTCAGAAATAATTTAAATGAAATTTATTGTCATTTTTCTATCATAATGTAGAAGAAATAATTCACCGGCAACATTTTTCTTTAGAAAATATATGTGGGGTGATTACCAATTTATTTGGAAAAAGTGCGAAATTTGATAAAAATAGAAAATTTGATGTATATACCCAAATTAGAGATATTTGTTTTTACCAAAAAAAATGTTGTGTTTACAAAAATCTTTTGTTTTGTAACTAATAGTGAAATTCGATATAGAATGGTTTTGTCTTTGACCAAATATTCCAAATATTATTGAACATTTCGAGACGTAACTGGAAGCTGTTTTATTAACACTTACTGAAACCAACAAAGAATTTGTGCCAAAATTGTTAATTTTATACTGCAAATTTCTAAAAAAAAACTATTCAATTTAAATATACAGTTTGTTTTGAGAAAATAATGAAGTTTCATATTACTTTCATATAATTTGGTGAAAAAAAGTACTGCGAAATTTTTATGAAAAAATTGCTAATAATTTGAATGTTTGTCACAAATTGACATCTATATATACCGCAGAAAGTTAGGTTTTCGTGGTTTCTTTTCAGTAGTTTTTTGAGTTTAATTTTTTTTCCTCGAAGTTAAGGTACATTTTGTTGTACCTAGACCATAATTAATAATAATTACAATTTAATGACTATAGAAATAAATCACTGATGACCTCAAAAAACGTTTTCTTTACAATCAATTCATATTATAATAAACATTTTTATATGAAGCACAAATGTAAATTCCACAAAAACACAAATGTAAATTCTCCTTATAAAGTAGTAATTTGTAGATGTATCTAAATATTTTTTTTATCAAAATTTCTGCTGATGAATATTGATTACTGGCTTCCGAATAACGACATCAACTATTGCAAATGACTATCAACACCTTAATGTCTTAGCTGTAATGTAAATTGGGGAATTTGGAGGCGTATAAGTCATGATAATAAGTATACAACCCAATGTACAACCAGTGATATAGTCGGACGGGGCTGACCATAACTGCAACCTTATTGAACATTTCAAAGCGATCAGCGCTGTAGTTCCGCTCTGTAGAGCGATAATGGGTTACTAAATAACATGCGAATATTTAGGTGTAACTCCCACATCCGAGCACATATACATTGGTATTAATTTAAAGGTCAACCACTCCGCTTGGATATAATATCAACTTCTCGGGTCTATGTCCTTCAGGGACAAATATATACGATATAGAATACAAATTTTGTCATTTTTCACACAAAAGTCAGGGTCCATTCGACCCGCTAAATATTGACCGATCTTTATCAAAATAGGCTTATTCTTTGGCCCAATCCTCTTCTCCATGCAAAATTTCACGATGGTCGGGCCATTATTGCGGCCTCTGGAGCGACCAGAAAAACCGACAAAAATTTAGTATTTGGTCCATTTCACACCCTAAAAATTAACCCATCTTTCCCACAAACAATAGGGGTCTTCATTGGCCAGAACCCATCATACATGCAAAATTTCGTGAAGATTGGTCCATAACTGTGGCCTGTATCGTGTTTACAAATTATAATGGACAGACGGACGGACAGACATGTCTAGATCGACTCAGCTAGTCGAGATATGACGATCGGTATACATAAAAGTGGGTCTAGGACCAATATTTCGCGGCGTTACAAATTTTTGGGGCTGCACAAAGCTATAATACCCTGACAACATAGTTGTGTAGGGTATAAAAATTGGTCTGGTTCAGAATCTGAAAAAAACGATAGGGCCAATATTTTATGAAATTATTCATATGACTGATGGCATGGACTCCTTGTAATTTCGCGGATTTATACAGTTAGAACTGAAAATAGTTTAAGACTTTTTCTTGGTGGGAATTAACAAAAGTTGATTTGTCCGGACCTAAAGCCATATAATATTTAAATAAATATTTATTAAAACTCCACGATAGATTACCGATAATTTTTAAACATGCTTTTGACCACACTCTACGACCTAACGAATCATGTTCAATTATCAAGATTTTGAATAAAAGTTAAGAGTGATATCAGAGCTTCTTCAAAATTTATTAAAATTATTATTTAAATGTATTTGGTTCCCAAAGGGCAATAGACTCACATCTTTTTCGCTACGAGTATTTTATCTCTTCATAAAATATTAATTTATTCCCATTCCTTAGAAATAGAATTTATTTACACATGGTGGCGTATGACTAGTCAATAATCATACGATGACAGGTCTAATATTTAATTAATATTGTTTAAAAATCCACGCTAAAGTACTGATTATATTTGAAAAATAAGTTTTCTAACGTTCTGACGAATGACGAAGAGTTGATAAATTAAATTTCTGTTAAAAGTATTTTGAAGACACCTAACGAATCATTTTCAGTAATCAAGATTTTGCATGAGAGTTAAGATTAATATTCGAGCTGCTTCAAAATTTATTGAAATTATTTATTTAAAATAATAATAAATAATTGTAATAAATTTCTTAAATATAATGGGAGTATTCACATTTTTCAGAAATAATTTATTGGTACATGGTGGCGTATGAATAGTGACAGTAGTCATACGACGCCAGGCATTTTCATCAAGGGGTCGTGCAGCTGTTATCACCAAAAGTTAATTATCAATTTATATAAAAAGTTACATTTTTTATGCGACTCATGGCAATGCGGAAAATACATTGTGATATTATATTCATGACTCATGTTAATTTCCCATCCCGGATTTATTTTAATGTTCTTTAAAATGTTGATGTATTTAAAAATTACTTAATTAAATAATTAATTTGCCAATTTTTACATATTAAACATTTACAATGAAACTTTGTTAATTACATTTTCTGTCTCCACCTCTCTTCTTCCCTTTTGCCACCCATTCCAAACGAAAATCCAACTATAGAATATCTAATTAATGACTTCTAATTTTTTGCATTTCATTGTAGTTGCTTGTCATCGAATCGAAAAATCAAAAAATCTATTTAATATTTATGACTGAGTTAAATTGGTGGAACTAACCATCATTAGTTCTGCTGCTTTGTTTTGTTTGCTACCAAAATTTTGTGTGAATTAATATTTTTTCGTTTTATGATTCCCAGAATAATTAGCGTCCAATATAGCAGAACTATCGAACGTCATAAATATTCATTGAAAAAAGTGAAATTTTTAATATATTTTGTTGTGGTGAATTAATTCATGCTAATATTCAAAACAAATAGAAGTGTGTTAAACTTTGTCTGAGTTTTGATATTTGGAAAATTTTTGTGGAATATATGAAATTATAAACAGTATTTGTGACTGAATTTTATTAAAAATATTTTTCCAAAATACTTTCAGATTTATAGTTATGGAATGTTAAAGAATATTTTTCTGGACGAAGTTGTAGGAAAAGCTGATAGATTTTTTTTAATTAACAAAAAAATATCGATTTGTATTCCAAAAGAAGAATATTAATAACCTTCAATGACTTATAGGCTTTTTCAATTCTCAACATGTTGACAGTTAAATTTGTAATAATTGCAAATTGCAGCATAAAGAAGTCGTTTCAAAAGAAAAGGCCAACAAAAATACACAACTTCTTTTACTATTCGTCGCATGCATACCAAATAGGTTGCAACTTCACATTCAGACTTCTAAATGGAAAAATCCACATTCTGACTATAAATTACTTATTTACAAAGAAAAACACAAAATTACTCCTAACCATTACCACTTGGATTGGCTTGTCACTCAAGTAGATATTTGTTTTGCGGTCAAAATCATTAAGATCAACAATTAAGCGGTACGGTTACGCTTGATTGTTGTTGTCTTCGTCAATATTGCAATTAATTACAAAAAAAATTGTCAAATGTTTACGTTTTGGCCGTTCCCATGGCTATCAAAATCTACCTCTAAATGCCATAAATAATTGCTAACGATATTTTCGAAGAGTCAAAATCAAATAATTAAAGGGAAGTAAGAAGAAGAAGAAAAAACGAGTTGTTTAAGACTCAATGAACGTGACATGCTGTTGCAGACTTTGGAATGATGTATTTAAAAACCTTAACTCGTATTTTAAAACCAGATTAATGTTTTGATAATATCTAAACAAAACAGTTCCTTATTTTGAAATACCCGTGGGAAGTAATAAACCAAATACGTCAGAATTAAATCCAAAGTCCAAATTTCTGTGACCACTCAGTTTAAGTATTTGAAAACCTATAACTCGTATTTTAAAAACCAATACTTACAATTTTGTAAAATTTGATATTCGATGCATTAGAGCTGACAACAAAACAGTTATATCAAAAAGTTAACTTTTAATTTTCTAAATACCCAGAATACCAAATTATAGCCAATGAAAAATGTGATTAAAGCCTTCAATAATAATCAGAATTAAATCCAACACATGTCCAAATTTTCTGTGACATATGTCAGTCTTCAAAACCACGAAATGTTTAATTACAGGCGAATGGAAAATGCGACTAAAACGGCTAAAAAAAGGGAAAATGGAGCGGAATTCTTAAACCAACATATTGACCGATATTCTAAGTTTTCAATACCTGAAATTCTAGAAACACTACCAGCGCAAAATTTCAATGTTCCAAGAAAAAATTGTGAATTCTATTGTGATTTCAACAGATGTTGAATGTTTGAGGGCAAGTTCTATTAACGTTAACAATCTGGACTTTGTCTTCCTGGATGATCTTATTAATAGACCTAAGTTGGGGATATACCAAGGTAGATATACAAGGTAGCCGCATCGGCGAATTTCTACAATAAACATCGCTTGTTGTATTTTGATATGTCAAAAATATTTTGCCAAAACAAACAGATTGACAAGATTTTTTTACACGAATTCTTGTAGAAAATGTTAATAAAAGTATTGCTAAAAAACCTCTTCGAAATTCGGAGATTTTCATTTATAATTTTGTTTTTTAATTTTTTACATTACAACAATATTTTTGACATTTATTTGCACCAACAGCTGGGCAGATGCGGCTACCTTTTTAAATATACATTGGGATATACAAATAAGTTTATCTTAAAATAATAAAGGAAAACGGCGTTGAAAATCAAGTTTGACTCTGATATTCTATTATAAATTGACATTTCACACAATGCCATTAATAAGGTCATACAGCGAGACCATCTGAAAATCAGCTGATTCCCATGTTTGCTGTCAAAATAAATTATTGTGAATTGACATAATGGAATGTAAACGTAAACATAGACCACATTTTTGACATTATGTGTCCGTAGACGATCATGCATGCATGACATCAAAATCGTATACGTGTGCATGAAGCTTCAGCGCACACGGTTCATGCATTCATTTTGCATTTGATTTCGTGCTGTACAGACAATATTGACAACGGACGAAACAATTCTTTCGATGTTGTCCTTGTGCTTACAAAATAGAGAAAATGCTGAAAAAAGGGCTGAGAACGACTGGCATACTTCCAACAACTCTATAACATTTTTCTCGCAGTATCCGACATCTCTATACAGTCATTCTCTTTGAAAAAAACGTCACAAGTGAGAACATGCATGATGCCTCCACCGCGCACACGTCAAAATCGAACGTCATGCATGCGAAAAATCAAATTTTTTTTTTATTTTGCTTCATGCATCGTAGGTGTGACATATACATACAAATTTCACTAACACCACAAAATGCATGTCATGCATGCATGACCGTGTACGGGCCACTTTAGACTTGAGAAAAGAGACCAGCTGGACATCAGCTGTCTATCAAGTTTGCTGTCAAAATCCATTATTGTGAATTTATGGTAATAGGTTACTAGTGTGTTAATGGGTTACTAAATAATATCTGAATACGTAAGCACCTGTAAATATTTAAGTGTAACTCCCATATCTATCAACTTCTCGCCTCTATGTCCTTCATGAGTAAATATATACGCCATAGAATACAATTTTTGTAATTTTTCACACAAAAGTCAGGGTTTATTCGACCCACTAAATATTGACCGATCTTTATCAAAACAGACATGCTTTTTCTTTGGCCCGTTCTACTTCTACATTTAAAATTTCGGGCCATAATTGCGGTCTCTAGAGCGACTAGAAAAGCCGACAAAAATTAAGTATTTGGTGCATATAATCCCCTAAATATTAACGGATCATTACCAAAAACAATAGGAGTCTTCTTTGGCCAGAACACATCCTACATACAAAATTTAATGAAGATTGGTCCATAACTGTGGCCTGTATCGTGTTTACAAATTATAATGGACAGACGGACACACATGTCTAGATCGACACAGCTAGTCGAGATATGATCGGTATACTTAAAGGAGGGTCTAGGACCAATATTTCGCGGTGTTACAAACTCTTGGGGCTGCACAAAGCTATAATACCCTGACAACATAGTTATGTAGGGTATAAAAATCCCCACTTCTAGGCCTAAAAGTAAGTAAATAAATATTGTTGAAATATCCACGCTTCTGGACTTGATAATAATTCAATGAAAAATTCTTTTTAAAACCATGATTCTAGACTTAATAATACTAAATAGAAGTCTTCGCTTGTAGGCCATAAAAAAAACTTGGAAAAAATATTGTTTAAAAAGCCAAGCGCCTACTTTTATTTCAAAAGTTGTTCTTCTTTAAATCAAAGCTTCTAGACCTGATAATACTTCAGTAAAATTATTTTTTTTTAATTCACGCTTCTAGACTGATGATCAGTCAAATATTCTTAAAAAATCTACCCTTCTAGGCCTGATTTTTTTCTACGGTTTTTAAATCAAAAATTTATATCAGTATGTGCAAAATTTTAGTCGTGCATATAACTCCTGTTTAATTCTCAGTTGGTAAATCTCCAGGAGTATTTCGTTTTGTTACCATAAGCATATCGGGGGTGAGGTCTCCTGCGATGTGCGCCTCATGTCAGTTTTCCATACGTAACTCTCTGCAAAGATTGAGTTTATTATTCTACTTTTCAGCAGTTCTTTAATCCTTTTATTCAGGAAAATCATTGCGTTACTTGCAGTCCTAGACCTATCAAAAACCGCGCAGAGATTTCTATTGCGAAGCATAAAAGAATTTTTTATGTTCCCACTGGAAAAAGCGCAAGAACAGACCTAATATATATTTTGTACATTCGTAAGGTTTATAAATATAATGCCGGTTTTAATACATTACAAATTGTTCTATATATCCATTATGATCTGTACAGACATCAATGGCCTTTATAACAATTTTATTGCCCAACAAATCAGTGACGCATTTAAATATGCTTAAAACCTCAATTTGTAGAATAAAATATTTGCTACTGTGGTTTTTGTATTGTTTATTTCCACCGAAAAAAAACAATAAATTATTAACAATTCGAGGTATTCGTGGTTTTCTGTGTGTGTTTAATTTTTTATTTATTTTGGCACTTCGTTTATGTTGTTGTGTCGAGTATGACGACACTCTTGAGATTTGTTTTTTTTTCTGGTTTACTATTTGGGATTCATTATCATTGCTACTGTGATTAGCCAATATGAACATTGTTTGGTTTGTTTTTAAATTTTTGTTGTTGTTGTTGTTTCTTTTAGTTTTTTTTTTTTTTTTTTTTTTGGTTCAATTCGTGGTTTAGAAGTTAATAATGCCTTGTTAGTTTTGACTTTGCAGAATAATTGATGAGGTCTTTGTTGTTTTTTAGGAAGAAGCCATAAAGAAGAGGTAAACACGAGTGCATGGTAATTTCAAAAATCTGTTATTATGTGTTTAAAAACAACAACAAGAGAAACGGAGTTAGGTTCCACCGGACATGATCTTTATATCCACACTATGGGGAAAATATAAAACTAACAACGAAACGGAAAAAATACAAGGACAGATAAAGTTAGCAATATCGAAAAAGAACTACAATACCTCAAAAAATATTAGCTTCTAGGTTTGATAATACTACCACAAAATATTCTTTATAAATCGATTGTGTTAGACCTCATAATATTTGCACAAATACTCTCTAAAATTCAACTCTTCTAGGCCTGATAATACTTGAACAAATATTCTTTAAAAACACACGCTTATATACCAGATAATACTTGAACAAATATTCTTTAAAAATCCACGCTTATAGACCTGATAATACTTGAACAAATATCTTTTAAAAATCAACGCTTATAGACCTGAAAATGCGGTTATATGCCTTACAATATTTCAATAATAATCTTTAAATATTCTCGTTTATAACCCTGAATTACTTCATAAACGAAACACAGGAATAAAAATCAGCCTTTCGATCCCTATTTCCATTTAAAAAAAACTGTTCTTAAAAGAATCCCTCCCCATATTCACAAATAATAAATGTATTTCTTTATTTTCGTTTCAGATGGAAATCTGGTGTTGCAGCTACCCTAAATTATGTTGAATTGGATACAAAAGAGAAAACACCCAAACTTCGTCCCTACCCCAGTTGGGAAAGTAATAAAATTCCCTCGGATAAATGTGAAGATGAGAGTGGTTGTGCGCTGAAAGATAATTCAACTATTATTTCCACATTCCGTATAAATGCTGATAAATGTGATCGTCTATGGGTATTGGATACCGGTTTGGCAGATATTCTGGGAGAAGGCAAACAAGTGACACCCAATGCTATTGCAATTTTTGATTTGAAAACCGATAAATTGATACGCCGCTTTACCATACCCAAGACTCAGATGAAAGAAGACACCTTCTTGGCCAATATTGTAAGTTAGATGGGATACATGTTTAAAAAACTTAATCCACTAATACGTTTCAATTTTTTATTACAGATTGTCGATTCAGAACGTTCGGAATGCTCGGATGCCTATGCTTACATACCCGATTTGGGTGCCTATGGTGTGATTGTGTATTCATTCCGTGACAATCATTCATATCGCGTGAAACATAATTTCTTCCATTTCGATCCATTGTTTGGTGACTTCAATGTTGGCGGTGTTAACTTCCAATGGACAGATGGTGTCTTTGGCATGGCAATTGGTCCTCGTAAGGCAGATCACACCAAAGATGTTTATTTCCATGCCTTGGCTAGTACCAAAGAATTCAAGGTCTCCAATAAAGTATTGCAAAACGAAACACATGTTACCAGTCCGGCTGCCTATTATGATTTCAAATATGTCGGTGATCGTGGTATGAATGGTCAATCCACAGCTGAAGTTTATGATCCACAAACTGATGTCATTTTCTATACACAAGTCAATAAGGATGCCATTGCCTGTTGGAATATCAAGAAACCATATCAGGCTGATAATCAAGGTCTAATTGATTCCGATTCACATACCTTGGTCTTTCCCAATGATATGAAAATCGATCCGGAAGGCAATTTATGGGTATTATCGGATAAAATGCCAACATATTTGTATAAGAAATTAGATCCCGCCGCTGTAAATTATCGCATATTGACTGGTAATAATCGTGATCTAATTAGGGGAACACCTTGTGATAAGTGAACGAGAAGTTGGGAGAGAAGTTTTGAATCATGATATAATGTTACATTATGAATTGTAATTTTTTCATATATATTTTAAGCAAACATCACATATTTAAATACAAGTTGTATACTTAAATAAATTATTATTTTATATATAAAACGAATACTTTTTTGATTTATAAATATGTAATAAAACGGAGTAGGATAAGGTTTATAGTTTCGAAAGGTAAAAGTTTTACAGGCCATGATGTAAAATTTACCTCGATGTCCACTATTTGGTCTCGACTGGAAAAAAATTACCTCGATATCCGTTATTTGCTCTCGACTTGAAAACTGTGCTTAAATCTTCAAAATCTGTATATTTTAACCGCTTAGTCTTAATGACCGTTGGTCTTAATGAATTTGGCGGAAAAAATATACTTGTGTGACAATAGGTTCGTTCGTTTACTCAATAATTTGTACGAATTTGTACAAATTATTACAAAATGTTGTTCGTTTACCCAAAACTCCAGTAAAAGAGAGTGAATTGAGAGAGCAGATTTGACAGTTGTGTTACTGAGTATTTGCAAATTCTTACAAGGAAAATTTACTCAGTAAGAATTTTCTTGTACCATCGGCTGATATTTAATCAACTGTTTTGCTATATTTTGTAAACAAACAACAAAATTGTCCTCAACCAAATTGATTGTTTTGTGAATTTTATATTGATTTTGTATTATTAAACATTAAAATTGGTTAAGAAAACGCAAGAATTGGTAAACAACATACATTTTCCGCTTGTTATCCATTTTTCTAATAAAAATGCTGTTTTTTAGTTTGCGCCAATTTGTTTGTTGTTTTAATCAGCTGTGTCGAAACAATCTTTTTACTGGATGTTGTTCGTTTACTTTTTGCAGTTTTCTCTCTTGAGAAGGAAAAATTCGTATTTACTCTCTGCAAATTCTTACTGAGTAAATATTACTGGGAAAGTAAACGAACGAACCTAATATGTTTATCAAGCGAAAGGCAATAAAATGGCATATACATTAAAACTTTTTACGTGGTTAAATGTAAACGGTTAAATGTAAACGTACTATAACTGAGGTTTGCAATAACTTTGTAATTTCTAGTCAGAACATAGATTTTCCATTTAGAAGAATAATTGATTAGTTGTACCTCATTTGGCATTCATTCAATGTATTGCAATTTCTTGTATTTTTATTGGCCTTTTTTTCAAAACGCAACTTCGTTCATTAATTATTTGGAATGCAATCTTATTGTACTGGCAACAAGCAAATGATTCCAATGAAGCCATTATGCAGTGGTTATGGTGTTTTTACACGATATTTATTTTACATATGTGCTGTCACTTTTTTGCCTATGGAAATCGAACTCGTCATGTCAAACATACGGAAATTTCAATGTGTCAAAACGATATGCAATTACATATGTATTTTTTCCGAATTCGTTTGAAGCTATTGCAATATTTACGTGGTCCTGATAATCGCATTTAATCGCATTTAATATTCTGTCAGCTATTCTAACCTATTTATGATATCTTGTTTGCTTTTTATGAACTGTATGTTTTTTTGTTTACATACACTTTCATTTACAGACAATTTCTTTGCATATTCTATTTTTTTTTTTTTTATTTATTTTTGTGCAATTTAATTTATACTTCATTTACACCTATTTTATTCGTATTAATGACTGTAATTTGCTGGATGTTGCTTATTATGGCTTTCATTTACGCCATTTTGTTTTAGTGGTTATGGCTGGGGAGCCAATTATAATTGAATATATTTTTTAAGTATTTTGTATTTAGATATAAGTTTTCTACTTAGAATGATGTGTTATATTAATACTATTTATTGGCCTTGGAGGCTTTAGTATTAAGGAATGAATTTAATAAATAATAAAATAATAAATAAATAAATAGGACGCGCTCTATTTTCGTATGTGAAACATAAGGAAATCAGCTGTTTGAATGAAACACATTGTTGGAAGAAAATATTTCAATTGCAAGTCAAAGAAAAGGATGAAAAGGCAACAATTACAAATTATTATTTCGTTTGTAGGTGTTTAATAAAAAAAATATGTTGATTTAAGAAAAAATAAAAGTGATTTTGTTGTTTATAGGTTATGTCATATGTAAAATACATATGCCGATTTGAACACAAAAATAAATGTTTTGTGTACGCCGCTAATTTTGCCACACATAAGGAATTACATATGGATGAAATAAGTGACAGCACATATGTAAAATACATATCGTGTAAAAACACCATTAATAATGGCCTTCTTCTCAATTTACGTTCTTACTCTTGTTATAAAGATTAGGTATTCTTAAAAATATCTTTTAAAAAACCACACTTATAATCCTGATAGTACTTTAATAAAATATTCTGTAAAAATTCACCCTTCTAGGTTTTAGGCCTGATTATATATTCTATAAAAAATCCACTCTTCTAAGCCTGATAATACTTGAAAAAGAAATCTATAAAAATCCACGCTTCTAGGGCTTATAACACTTGAACAAATATTCTTTAAAAATCTACGCTTCTAGGTCTGATAATACTTAAGCCTGGTAATACTTCTCGCTTCTAGGACTGATAGTATTTCAATAAAACTGATAGTATTTTAAAAAATTATTTGAATTCTGATAATACTTAAATAAATATTCAATATTTTTTCCACAGGAATTATAACCATCTCAATGAGAAAATTCGGTTAAAAAATTGGTCTGTTCCTGTACTGCAAGAATCTACCAGATTTTACTATTTTTTTCGATATCTTAAAGGAAAATTCGTTATCGTAGTAAAAATTAGTAAATTCTTGTAGTGCGGGAACAGACCATATATTAATACCGAAAAAGAACTTGGACCTATATTTACACTGCTCAAATTTGTATAAAAGTCAGCCTTCTTTTATACCAAATTACAATCCCATCGGTTGGAAAATGTGGCTAAAGTCTTCAAAATACCAAAATTGGGATGCTACCGTTCTATGGGAGCTATACCAAACCATAAACAAACATTTAAAAGTTTTGGTTGTAAGATTTGATACCCCATAAGAATTTGATAAATCAAATTAGAGAGGATTGGTATAAAAAACATTCCCAAACCCCACAAAAACACGTATAATGGTGTTTACCGGGAAACTTGGGCCAAAACTGATCATTTTTGGTAAGCAGATTACGTGCTCAAGCTCCCCATAAAAAATGAATCAATATTGATCATGTTTAGTAGGGCGATTTGACACCCCATTGGAATCTGAAAAATCAAATTGGAACGAATTCGATTAAAAACATTCGCAGAATTCCGAATTCCGGGGCTACCCGGAAACATGGGTCAATGTTGATAATTGGTCTGTTCCCGTACAGCAAGAATCTACTAATTTTTACTACGATAACGAATTTTCCTTTATGATATCGAAGAAAATAGTAATATTGAGTAGATTGTTGTAGTACGGGAACATACCAAATATTTGGTAGGAACTTTTTCTACTTAATGAGAAATCAAAATTTAAAATTAAAGCTAAATTGGTTGCAGCACGTCTTCAAGCTCCCCATGCCGAAACATTGGACCAATATTGATAGTTTTCAAATATTGATAATTTTCTGATCTAATAGCCAAAGTGAATCAAAAGTCCCAAATCACAGTTTATTCTGTTAAAAACCCTTTTAAAACCACCAAAAATAAAATTCTACAATCTAATGATTCTATAAAAATTTTATTTATTTTATTGAAACTTCCCCCTTCTATCCCTATTAACTCTACCAAAATATACCAATTGGTCTTCATATATATGGGTTATTTGTTTAATATTTCAATATAAGTTGCATACGAAATGGCAACATAAACATACTCCCCATCATAATGATAGTGCGTAGGAACATGACTACATTATTTTCAATATCTTTATTTCGCAACTGTGTCTTATCTCTGCATTTACTCAGCATTATTTCGAATGTGGTCTTGCTCTAGAGTTTCATAACAATTGATGATGTATAATTTTTCAAACTAAATTTGTTTGCGTAAATTTTAAATCATAAATCGTGAAATAAGACCTGCATAACTAAATATTCATATTTGGTTACTATTCATAAAACTATTTCATAAACCAAATGTATCACATAAATTACAACAAAAACAATGCTAGCTATTATATCAAAATACTAAATTTATTTTATTTTGGAATTTAAACGTTAAGAACAGTAGCGCCGTGAAAATAATTATAGATCAGAGTTTAGAAGATTTCCAGCCAATTGTACTTTTTCACCAGGTTTAAAGGCGGGCATGCCCAAATAGGGGCATGTGGAACAACGGAACGCATCGCCCAAATAACACTAGAATAAAAAGCAAAATTGAATCTGATTTAAATATATACCAAATATTACTTACGCTGCCACAACTAGATTTAGCATTTTGTGTTTCCACCTTTTTGTTTTGTTTTTCAGCCTCCAATTCCTCGGCCAAGCCGCATGAACAATCTTTGCAGGCTTTTCGTTTGCCAGTTGTGCCACAAACTAAAATAAATATAAATGTTAAAAAATAATTCAAATACAAAAATTTCGATACGAAACTATACCTCTCAATGACTCAGGATCTGGTTTCTTTTTATCTTCTTCATCCAGTAAATCATCTTCATTAATTAAATCTTCTTCCTCATCACCGTCAATTTTCCAGACTGCAGCTGTTGCGGCTGGTTTTGATTTGGCAAATGATAATTTCACCGCCGAACCAGTTTCATAGCCAGGCTTTTCACATGTAATCGTATTCTGGGCATTTGTTGAGTCAATAAAACCCGACAACTTTAATTCTTGTAAAATACTTTCAGAACTACCCACGTATGTTAACAAATGTAGCTTGCCTTTGGGTTTCAACAAATTCAATAACTTTCCAAATGCATCGGTCAATTGGGCATTTTCAATAATAATTAAATCAAATGAGGCATTGCCGTATGATGCTGGAAATTAAAGTAAAAAACAAGCAATTTAATAATTACAAAGAATACAATGTGGAATATTGTGGTCATACCCATCGATAAGCGGTTAATATTTTCAACCTGAACATCTCCTCCGGTAGCTGCTTTGATTTCTTCAACTTGTTTTTCCAAATTTTCTGTTGTCGACCAAATGTACAAGGTTTTAGCAAGGCCTTTAAATTGCTCCATGTTTTTTTTCTTCTTTTCTTCGTGCTATCAAAGGATTAGTACTCTTAAATAAATAATCCTTTCACTTTGCGATAATTTGCGAAATTATCTAAACAGCTGTCTTGCTGTGATGACTAAACATATACCATTCGTAGTGGCAACTGAACACAGCTCACTTGTTGCCAAATGTTCTACGGAATTGTGTGTGAATATTTGTATTGGCAATACTGTGACGTTAGCTGATAAATGTGAATTTGGAAAACTATCGAAAATGTTATCCGATAGCTATTAAAAATCGATATTCTCCATAACATTGTTTACATGACTTTAAAGACATTATAGAGCGTTTATAAAAACATATATCAAAGCGCCGATTTTTGTCAATCAAAATTTCATTTTAGAACGGGTTAATATACTTTATAAGGAATTATTTGACATATATACAATGAAATTGGCAATTTAAACCCACTAGGTTAACGAAATCCGGTACAATGTTAAGTACTATAAAGCCAGGCATATGTTCTGGCAAAGTGAGGAAAGTTGCAACCTATATGGCCATATTGGCTGTAAAAGATTTTTGCTGAAGCTGAATCTGTAAGATCTACCTCGAGGAAGGTGGAACTTGGTAGCCTGAGGAATCTGAATATAGAACATCAAAATATATCTGACCAGTAATTAGACGTAAGCATGGTTTTTTTCACGGAGGCGTATCGGTTAGTTCTTATCCATGGGTAGGTCCCATTTAATTTGTTTGCTAACAACGATCGGTTTTTTCTCGTGGTCTAGTCACTATTATCCACTCATAGTCTGTTGATTATAATTGTAATTCACTGTCCAATACCGTCGCCTCTGCATCGAAGTTTGGTCTTACTTCGAACATTCTCGCAGCAAGTGAAGATTTTACCGACATTCTTCCCAGCCAGCGGAATGGCATAACTTAATGTGGGTATTAAAGTCTCGTCAACTGACGCGAACTTTGTTCTTAGGTACCTCCATGGTACTCTCATACCATACCATGCTTTCTTCTTGTTCGCCTTCTCTTAAAACATTTAGCTCTTCCTTAAAATGTTATCGAACTCATTTATATGATTACTTTAACCTCAATTCCTCTTAAAATTTATGGGTTTTGTTTAATTATTTGTGTTTTTATTGCATAACTGATTTTAAAGTTTAAATAATTATAGCTATGATAAATTATATTTCTTTTATATTGATGATTGTGATATAATAATAAGATATTTAAACGTGTAAATTGTAATTAGTGGTTGAGAGTAGAATAATATTGTATTCCTTGGCCCTATGTGCTAGGTCGCTACATCAAATAATCTAAGTATAATAATAAAAATGTTTTTGAAGTACAATGGTTCTGAACCCCTCCAACTAAATAGACGTTAAGATGTTGGTTAGTAACTAAAAATAAGTTATGGTGTTTTTACACGATATGTATTTTACATATGTGCTGTCACTTATTTCATCCATATGTAATTCCTTATGTGTGTCAAAATTAGCAGCGTACACAAAACATTTATTTTTGTGTTCAAATCGGCATATGTATTTTACATATGACATAACCTATAAACAAAAAAAACACTTTTATTTTTTCTTAAATCAACATAATTTTTTTTATTAAACACCTACAAACGAAATAATAATTTGTAATTTTTGCCTTTTCATCCTTTTCTTTGACTTCCAATTGAAATATTTTCTTCCATCAATGTGTTTCATTCAAACAGCTGATTTCCTTATGTTTCACATACGAAAATAGAGCGCGTCCTATTCGGAAAAAATACATATGTAATTGCATATCGTTTTGACACATTGAAATTTCCGTATGTTTCACATGACGAGTTCGATTTCCATATGTAAAAAAGTGACAGCACATATGTAAAATACATATCGTGTAAAAACACCATTAGTTAGTGGTCTGTTCCCGTACTGCAAGAATCGACTTTTTTTTAACTACGGTAACAATTTTTCCTTTATTATATCGAAGAAAATAGTAAATCTAGTAGATTCTTACATTAGGGGACAGACCATAGGTGTTTTCCAAACATGTCTGGTTCTGATTCATCAATTCCCAGGTTTAAGATGTTGATAGCGAACAAGGTGCAGTTATGAGATGCAGCATTTTATGTGGTTCTAGACAATATGCCGCAAAACTTCTAAAATTTGAAGTAGGAACAAGAAATTATGAAAGGAGGTCGTTTGATGAATATGAGAATAGGTTAGTGGTCTGACCTGAGGGTCAGGTAAATTGAAGCTATCAATTTGCTTTAGTAGCGTCATACCTCCCTGGTCATTACCATAGACGGAATACAATAATTCGTGATAGACATTGAAATCCTCAATCCCCAGTAAAGTGATTCAGTATCTATTTGTCAACCGAATTAACGACGTTTTTCGATAGCTTAGAATTTTCATAGGCATATTAGGGTTCTGTTCCAGAACTTTAATTTGTTCCAATACTGCAAGAATCTACTAACGTTTACTATTTTTTCGATATCAGAAAGGAAAAATTGGAAAATGTAGAAATGTAGATTCATGCAGGTTTTGTAACAGACATATAATATCTCTGTTCCGCTATGCCTGGGAGTAAATAGTTAATTATTCTGTGTTGTGACAGTAATGTGGATGGATTTAAAGGCTACATAGTCGTAATGATTGTCGCCGAATAATCAAATATGCTTTGTTTCAGAACCTGTAAGAATCTTAATGAATTTAAAATTTTGTACTACTTTTTGGGTAAGGGAATATGTCAATAGTCTTGTGTCCAACATAACACAGGCCATATTCTGTTTTATAAAAAATTTTTTAAAATGTTGTATGTGCCGGCGAATCAATTTTTATTAGCTCCTACATTTTCCAACAAATAAAACGTGGTACAATTATAAAAGGTAACGGCAATACTCTTCTGATTTGATTCCAAGGTAATACTCCTTTCAATTTCAATATGACGGTGAAAAAGCTGGCAACACTAGACTTGTTCAGACGTATAATTTTTTAACTCGAAATTTTCTTTCATATTTTATATTGTTTTTAAACAAATATCAAAGCTACCAGCATCATATTTGCAATTTATTGCATTTAAGATGTCTGGTCCATTTCTACACGACATTGATGTTGATGCCGTAGAGGAGGAAGTAACGTCAACACCACAAGCCAATGATGATGTTCTCAACATCGAAAAGGTAAACAAAGCCAATGAACGCAAACGACAAAGACTAGAAAGTGCTTTATCACCCATAAATTTAAACATCTTTGATCTTTCAACGAAACTGGTGAATTTCAACAACAAAGATCAGAATAAGTTCGGCATTCTGGGAGTACTTGCAGATGTAAATCTAAAGAGCAATACACCCGTCACAGAAACACGTTCCGCGACCTCGGAAAAAGAAAGTACGACAAACAAAGGGAAGTCATGGTGTCCACCAATCTTCGTTTATAACATGAACGTACATTCACTTATAGAATCTTTAAGATCAACGATTCCCATAAATTCATTTAAAGTGAGAAATATTAATAAAACAAAGAGCAAGTTATATTTGGCGGATCCTGCAGTTCACACTTCCATGATGGCGCTACTTAAGGAAAAGAATATACATTCTTATTCCTTTACTCCGAAGGATCAAAAACAAACTACCATGGTAATTAGAGGATTATGTCCTAGTACGAATATTGACTACATCAAACTTGAGCTTGATGATCTGGTCCCTGAGACGGTAGCCAATGTGACGAAATTTAAAACTAAATCATCGTCAAAGAGAAATATTGACACCGGCCTTTTCTCTGTATCTCTACGCCCAGGAAAGAAAATTGGCGATATAGACCACATTCGGATTTTGCAAAGTCAAGTGATCACATGGGAAAAACCGAAGAGAAGAGATGGTGAAGTACAATGTCACAGATGCCAAAAATGGGGTCATATATCACGTAACTGTAACTCGGCATACAAGTGCGTGAAATGTAATCAAAAACATGGACCTGGTGAATGCCAACATATCCGTTCAGAAACAGTGAAGCCATTTTGCGCGAATTGCGAAGAACCCGTCCATCCAGCTAATTGGAAGGGATGCCCTATATATAAGAAATACGTAGCTGCCCGCCAAAAACAAATCACAAAAGCAATAGAACAGAAAAATACTGCCAGAAGTAATGTCAACAAAGCCATAAACATGTCATTAATCTCTCCTGGAAAGTCATTTTCCAGTCTATTTAATAAACAAAATAAAGTACAATGTATCCAACGCCCAAAGCCTTCAATTATCGACGACTTCTTGAAGTTAGCGAATTACTTCATTGAACCAGAGGAGCTGACCTTGGAACAAGAGATCACTATATTTCTATCAAAATACCCAATAATGACAAAATCAGATGCAAAAATTGAATTTGTGCGTCTGTTAAATAAAGTTAAAATACAATATGGGCCATAAGACGTTAAATATATTAACTTTTAATGTGAGGTCTCTTGTTGATACAAGTAGACAAATAGATCTCCACAACACTATTTTAACTAACAAAATTGACATAGCTTTCATACAGGAGTTACACATGCGAAGATACAAATATATTAAACTTGCTGGTTATAATTTTATCCCAAACCATTCATCGGTTGGAGTTGCAGTTGCTATAAAAACTCAATTCAATATAACAAGATTTTGCTTAATGATACTGGAATTTGCACCACATTTATCCAAACAAACTTAACATGTGATGGTATCCAAAGAAAATGGCTATTTGGATCTTTATATATTCCCTCTAATTTTCCTGTTCAGCAGCTGAGAAATGATTTAGATAAACTTCTTCAGTTTTGTAGCAATTTTGATTCGTTTATTCTTGGTGGCGATCTGAATTCAAAAAGTACCAACTGGGGCGATAATTATGATAACTCTAACGGAAGAGTTCTTTCCGATTGGCTGGACGACAATGCATTGGAAGTGGCTCGGTTGTGCGATTCTTCACCTTCTTATCCTAATGGCTCGTCATTTCTGGACCATTTCCTAATAAGTACAAATTTAATCAATAGAAATAATCAAAATTTCAATATATATACTTTACCATCCTTTTCTGACCATTATCCTTTAAAAATATCATTGCAATTGAACCGCACAGATTTTATATTAAGAGCTCCAAGATGTTTTACATCATATAAAAATACAGATTGGATTAGATTTCAGAATGAAATGGATACAGCATCCCACAGAATTATGCCACCTTCCAATAGAAATCTGGAAAATGAAGAAATCGATCATTTTATTAGCGAGTTTAACAATGCGTTTACGTCGGTCCATGAACAACACTCGGAAAAGATCACTATTAAAGACGAAAAAATTCCTCTCTCGGAGAGAACTAAAAAAATGTATAAAATGAAACATCAGTGGCAGAAAGAGCTAAAACTCCTTTATCACCGCACTGGAAATAGAAACAGCAGCAATTATCAAATATTATCAAAGCAAATCCAACTTTTGAAAATTATTATAAAAGAATCTGTCAATATTGAACAAGCTCAAAGGTTCAAAAGAAAATTAGAAAACATTAAACCTGGTCCTGCAGCATTTAAGGATGTTTATAAAATAGTGGGAAATAAGAAAATGCCGTTTTGTGATCGTATTATGAATGATAATATTACGATAACTAATGCTTCTGACATAGCCAATTGTTTCCAAAATTATTACTCTTCAACCTTTTTGCACAGAATTCCAGAATGTCCTGTTGGAGATTTCAACACCAAGGTCCCAAATTTCCTAGCCTTAGCATCACGCCACATTTACTCCTTCGACGGTGGTTTTAATGCCGTGAATAACAGAGACAAAGTCCATTTTACAGATCCTGAAAAAATCAAAGAAATAATTTCTATTATTAATAACAAGAAATCATGTGGATTAGATGGAATTTCAAATTTTATTATTAGAAAGTTTCCTGATTCAACGATAAAACTCCTCAGCTGCTTGTTTAATCACTGCATCAATAATGGGTACTTCCCTTTAGCTTGGAAAATAGCGAAAATATATCCCATAAAAAAGAAACCATCTAGCGAGTTGGTATCAGATTTCCGTCCAATTTCATTGTTGTCTAACATTGGAAAACTTTATGAACATATCCTAAAAGAAAAAATGGAGAAGCAATTCATTATTGAACCAACATCAAACTTTCAATTTGGTTTTAAAAAATCGCACTCTACGCAACATGCGCTATTAAAGTTCCATAATGACATCACCAGAAACCTTCGAGAACAAGTATGCACGGTTGCCATCTCTCTGGACATTGAGAAGGCTTTTGACTCAGTGTCCCATAATGGAATACTATACAAATTAATTGACCTGAACGTTGATCTCTATCTCGTAAGAATAATGCAAAGTTTCTTTAATAGTCGAAGGTTCTCAGTTCAGATCCAAGGATCTGTGTCATCTATTGGTACAATAGGCAGCGGAGTACCTCAAGGGAGCGTACTTGCTCCGTTCCTATTTAATCTTTTCCTCAATGACTTTCCACACATGCACGAACACTCTCAAGCAATTTTATATGCAGGCGATTGCTTAATATACGCACATGACCCATCTCCAACCACTGCATTGAATAAAGTAGCATTACACCTCGACAACATTGATGGTTACTACAAAACACGGGGTATTACAATTAATGCCGCTAAAAGCACAGCCATCTGTATCAGGAATGCATCAGGGAAATGTCCCAGGAACGTAGTCCCGCAGAGCAAACTCCTGAATCTCTCACTCAATGAAACTGCTATTCCATTTGAAACCAGCCTAAAATATTTAGGAGTCAATTTTAACAATTTGCTGAAATTCAACACACATACACGTTCAACACTTCAAAAAGCCAAACGCGTTGCTGGCTCCTTCTCATCGCTTTTTAACAACAGGTGGTTGCCACAAAATACAAAGCTCTTGCTATATAAAGTGGCAATTAGGTCTATCCTGCTTTATAGCTTCCCAATCTGGTTCACTATTTCTCCAATAGTGGCAAAAGAGTTGGAGGTATTTGAACGGAGGATCCTAAGAAAATGCATAAATAAACATTAAGAAAACCGGACTAAGAAATATTCAAATACTTACGTTTACAATGAGGCAGGAATCCAGCCTTTTTGCAGATATGCACTAAATCACCTCAAAAAATTTGTTGAAGGATTATCCACGCACGACAACTCCTTGATAAAATCCATATTCGATCTTGAAAAATCCATATCTTGGTGCAGTACAAATTATTTGTCTCCGATAGGAGTTATCAATGAAGTCCTAGACACCGGACAAGATGTCCTAAATCTTCCAGACTTCTTTAAAACAACAACTCTAGGCATACATAGAGGCTGATTTCTAAAAAAATAATATAATTTAACTTATGTTTGAAATTTTGAGCTTTGCTCTATCGATGTTTAATATTGTTATGTTGCACTAACATTTCTCAATCATAGTAATACATCTGTGATAACTTTTCATACCCACCTCGTACACTACAAAATGTTCGCTGTTTGTTGCCTTTCAACAGCCTCTTGTTTTTTTAGTTTTAAGATTGTTACGTAGTTTTAATTTATTTATTATTTTTCACAGACGTTTATGCTCTGTTCGTTACCTGATAAGGCCGTGAGCAAGCCTATATACATATATTTATCAATAATATTTTTTGTTTTCAAATTTTCAATATCAACTCAGCATGTAGCATATAAAAACATAACGTTTAATAGTTCTAAGATTTCATGTTATCATTTTACTTTACATTACACAATGTTATCGATATAAAAAGAAAGTCTCAATAAAAAATACTTACTTTCAATATGACAATTTATGATTTTACAGATGACCCAGCAGGAATATTGAGTAGGCATTAATCTTTATTAAATGTCCCACCGTATTTAATTTATTCCAGTAAAGCAGAAGCAGTAAATCTTTCTTCATTGAATAGTTCCGGATTTTCAGCATTTTAATATGTGTTAAGCATACATGTGTGGAAGCGATATATTTATAAATTCGATAGATTTTTTTTCATTTTTGGTCTGTTCCCGTACTGCAAGAATCTACTACTTTTTACTACGATAACGAATTTTCCTTTATGATATCGAAGAAAATAGTAAAATATAGTACATTCTTGCAATACGGGTAGGAAAATTTTGAACACATGTTTTTAAAACAAATTTATTGATATTTTGTATTTACATTTTTTCGACATATCAAACTGACACTAGTGTTACATACAATAACATTTTTGGTCTGTTCCCGTACTGCAAGAATCTACTATTTTTTACTACGATAACACTTTTTTACTTTATGATATCGAGAAAAATAGTAAAAACTCGTAGATTCTTGCAGTAGGGGAACAGACCATTTTCTAGGTGGTTGTTGTTGCATTGTATTTGTTATAGTTTTACAGTTACATGGTATATTTATACCATGCATGTGAATAAAAATAAAATGGATACTGTGTTATCATTTTTACTTTTATTTATTTATTTAACAATTCCAAATTCCGAAGACAACATTTAAGTAATTGACAATCGACAGGATATACTTATAACAACAATAAAACAAAAATAAATTAAATCTCTATATGCTTGGCTTGATGCTCAGTACAAAAAACTCAAACAAGAAAATTAAATTCTCAAAACTCAAAAAAAAAAACTTAAACTCAAGATCGGTTGCGGTATATTTTTTCCAACAGAACATCTGCTGGTTCTAATTTTTTTATTCTGTCCTGGATAATTTTTTTTCAATTCTGCTTATTTTTAATTGTCTGAAACACCATGTATGAACACATCTTAATAAACTACCTTAAACGATATTATCGATAGTGTAAATTAGCAAATCGATATTCGTACAATAACAAAATAATCGATAGCGTCATCGATTGTTTGCCACCTCTAAATACTCTGCCGTCGCCATCTTTCTTTTTTCTCTAAATATAAGACCGCGTGGACGGTATTTCCTAAAAGGTTAGTGATTTTTATTAAAAATTCGCTAAATTTATTCAATAATCGAAAAAATACCAATGAAAATGTGTTGAATATGTTTAGTGCTAATGTGTTTTATGTGAAATGAATGAAATTTTAACGAATTTCCCCGTTTTTTCTTTACTTTTTCCTCCAATTCCATCACGTAGAGAACTACACACAACAACAACATGACTAACTCCAAGGGTTATCGTCGCGGCACCAGAGACATGTTCTCCCGCCCCTTCCGCAAGCATGGTGTCATCCCACTGTCCACCTATATGCGTGTCTTCAAAATCGGAGACATCGTTGACATCAAGGGTCATGGTGCTGTCCAAAAGGGTATGCCCTACAAGGCCTACCACGGCAAGACTGGCCGTATCTACAACGTCACCCCCCATGCTGTCGGTGTTATTGTAAACAAGCGTGTCCGCGGAAAGATCCTACCCAAGCGCATCAATGTCCGCATTGAACATGTCCACCACTCCAAGTGCCGTGAAGATTTCTTGCGCCGTGTCAAGGAAAACGAACGCTTGTTGAAGGAAGCCAAGGCTAAGGGTACCTGGGTTAACTTGAAGCGTCAACCTGAACAACCCAAGAAGGCTCACTTCGTTAAACAAATCGAAGAACCCATCCTATTGGCTCCCATTCCTTATGAATTCATTGCCTAAGTTATGTTTAACATATCTTGGCTTGATTGAAGGAGGAGTTCTGTTTAGTTTTTTTACATGCTGCTGTTGTACATGGTCAGAAGAGATGCTTTTCTATGAAAATTATCTTGTAAAGTTATGACAAAAATAAAGGAAAACAAGAAATTTTGAAAAAAAAAACAAACAAATGCGAAAATGTGTAGTGGATTTTGTTTTAACAAATCAGTGGTATAAATACAGGATATATGTATAGGCAATCATCAGTGATAATTACAAGGAAATAAAAATATCTTTTTTTTCAATTGTTTTTGAATATAAAAAAATAAAAATACGCAATAATTTTTATTAAAAAATACGACTATCTCAGCTATCAAGATAAGTTGGTTCGGAATATGCCGGCATTATAACCTGTTGCGTATTTTTCTTATTTGATTTTTTGATAGTCTTGTCGGAAATGAAAACTATCTGTTTACTACAGATTTTATAGTAACACATTGAAGTTCCAACATGAATTAATTTTTAGAACTTTTTGTTTACACTGATTTTTGAAGTTAATATGTAAGAACCTATATTTATTGCCGGATCATCTGGTAGGAATGCAGTTGTAGAAAAAAGACTTACTAAAGGGATTTTCAAACATTAGAAATATATGTATACAACATTTATTTTGAATTGACATCAGTAGACCTATTCTGTAACTTTTAACAACATTCGATATTGTTTAAATTTCTTTTGTTATTGTAAAAGCAATAAAACAAATGAAATTGTTGTAAAATAAACAATATTGAATGTTGTTAAAAATTTACAAAATAGGCCAACAGAGGTTCCGTTTAATATACCCCATGCTGAGTATCGAAGTGACATCAGAATATATAATATAAATTAAAAAATTAAGATGCAGATTTCGAAAAAACATCTAAGTAGAAATATCAAGGGACTAATTTTTTGTAGATCTGGTATTATTTGAGCTATAAGCAGTTTTCAATATCTGTAAAAACATTCGATATTGTTTATTTTACAACAAATTCATTTGTTTGTTTTATTGTTTTTACAATAACAAAAGAAATTTAAACAATATCGAATGTTGTTAAAATTTACCGAATAGGCCTACTGATCTTAATTTTATGAGAACTACTGTCGATACAAATCATGAGAAAATATACAGGGCATAATGTCGAAATATTATTTAATTCACGTTCAATAAAACTATGGATTGAATTCTCTGAAAGTAAGTTCCAAGTTATTGATCCTATTCTACCAACTAATATGTTTTGCATAGTGTATAACATATATTGGCCTAACGGCTTCGTTATACATGTTAAAATTGAAATAAATAAATAAAATCTATATCTAGAAAAACATAAAGGATAAAAAGTTTGGACTATGAAAGATTAATGTTTTTATCAAACAGTTGACCAGTTGTGGGTAAGATACTAGAACTAGTGTACCGGCTTTGTAAAAATATTTCAATTAAATTTTGAACATTTATGAAAGGAAATAGAAATTCATTTTAACTTGGTAAAATATTATTGTAAAGTTTTGATCAAACCCGACGGTGTACCACCTTCGAATCAGAAAATGTACTCCAAAATTGGAAATTGTTCAAAGATTCGTGGGATCTTAAACCGTTATTTTTATAAGGCTTGTTTTTATACCCTCCACCATAAAGTCGAGTATTTATTAAATTTGTCATTCCGTTTGCAATAAATCGAAGTATTCGCCGGGGACCCAATAAAGTATATAGGGTAAACGCACCTAATTCCGGTCAAAGAGGGTTGTCAACACTAGCGATAATTCATGTCTCTTAAGAAAAATTAGTGGGCATATCGATTTCAACATTTTTGTAACTACATATATTAACATAACCCATGCTGAGAGATCAAAATGTATAATATAAATTAAAAAAAAATCCAGATGCAGATATAGAAAAATGCGTTTTTTAACCGAATGAAATCTAATTTGATTTTAAATGGTTCTCATGGGGTGTCAAATCTTCCTACTAAACATGATCAATATTGGTTCACCTTTATGAAATCCCCCATATAATGCTGCATCGCAAATTTTGATATTTTGGATAGCTTGGGCATGTGCTTCAACCAATTTCGCTGTAATTTTACATTTTGGATTATCATTGAGTAGAAAATCTCCCTACCAAAAATGTTCCATATTGACCCAAGTTTTCGGGTTGACCCCTATAATGGTACACCCATTATTCGGTATTTTGAATGGTTTGGGCATGTTTTTCAACCGAATTCGCTCTAATTTGATTCATAAAACTCCTGTGGAGTGTGAAATCTTTCTACCAAAAAGTATCGATGTCGGTTTCGTTATTTTCAAAACTTTGGTCGAATTTTTCAATCGATGGGGCTGTAAATAGGGAAAAAAGGCGTTTTGGAGGCTGACATAAATACAAACTTGTGCGGTGTATATTTAGGTCCATGTATTGATATAACTCCACATAAAAGTTCCGTTTCTTTTTTGAAATTAATACAGTTTCAAGCGATTTTTTATAATTTGACATATCTGATTCCCGGTGAATAAAAAATAAATTAAAAAAGTCTGTGTCTGCAATTTGGAACACTATTTTTTTAGGAGCATGAACCACCTACTAGATAACACCATAACATAGTCGCATATAAATGTCCCGATCGACTTAAGAAATTTGGAATGCACTCCACGTGGTGGAGGGCATAGAATTCAAAATGTCATTAGTCATGTTATAAATTGTTCTTAAATTCAAATATTTGTATGTCCCAAACTCTTAAATTCCGACCGAAAAACATTATTCCATTTTATACAACGTTGTTTGTTCGTGTTAGCCGAACATCTGTCAGCATATATTTTTTTGGAGGATCGTTAAGAACGCAATAATGTTATTCTTAAGTGAAACGGAATTTAAAAATATACACTTATAAAAAATGGATAACAGTAAACTTTCATAGTCAACATTTTGATTTCAACGAAAAATGTATAGTTTTCGCAATAAATTCGACACGAACCTATTCTATCAGTACATTAAAAAATACAATTGGTCTGTTCCCGTACTGCAAGAATCTACTAATTTTTACTATTTTTTCCGATACCATAAAGGAAAAATTGTTATCGTAGTAAAAAATTGTACATTTTTGCAGGTTCTGGAACAGACCAAAGTAGCTATAAATCCGTAAAAGAAAATTTATTATTGTCCGGCAACAAATATCATGAGGGAACAGTCTTTAAAATTAACAGAGAGCATGATTAGTAAGGATTGTACCTTAAATTTCCCACCTTAATTTACACTTCATATTTTTATTTAAGGGAACCCCACCCATTCTCGATTTTAATTTTTTAAGATTTTCAATGGGCTCTTAAATCAATACCAATGCTTGTTAAGGTTTGTAACTTTGCACATATATATTTGAAGATTTAAAAAAGAAGAAAATTAATTTACAAAAAATTTTTGTTATTGATTTGTTGTTGTTTTTTGTAACTAAAGAAAAGTCCTTATTTTTGATGGCGGGCATGATAACTCCTCACTGGATCATCGGAATCCGAAAATTCCAACGGTGTTAAAAAGAGTACATGTCTGGCTCTCGTATGAAATAGGCTTTATCCTAGTTCATATGATAGCTATACACTCACATAGAAACGAGTAAAAATTTGAAATCGATTGGGTAATTAGTTTTTGAGTTATCGTGCCCGCCATTCGCCTTCACTTGATGCTGGCACAATACATCGGCTATATCTTCAAGAGTTATTGAGATTTTCACTTGAAATTTTGTAGAGACATTCTTGAATTAGTGTAGGATCGAATTAAATAAAAAAAATTTTTTTTGACCCCGAGATTGGGGGTCCCCTTAAGTTATTTCCGTTATACATACAGCTATCCATTTACAGAATGAGCATAGTGCATCTTTTTATTTCCAATTTATTTATAATGTCGTTCATGTTAATTTTTTCTCAAAAGTCCAATGAAAAAGTCATCATGCTATATAGTGAGCAAAATTATTTGGGGCTCTATTAGGTTTTACTTTGAATTTCCAACTTAAATAGATATAATTTAATTTTGTCTTATCGTTTAAAAACTGCTGATTACATACCGCCGTCACTGTTTTTTACTTTCATGCCATTGTACTTATAACTTTCTCTCTCACTCTCTTTGCGTGGTTTTATATTTGCCGGGATCGGGATCGGTGTTGAGAGTTTCTCTCTCTCTCAGTGGTAAATTGTGAATTGTGTTGGAAAACATTACCACAGGTAGGAACAAAAAAGTACGAAAAGGTACCTAAAATTCTACTTCAAATGGTAATAAATCATAATTATCGAGAAATATTGGTCAATATTTATACCAGTTATTTGCATAAATAATATATGTTATAATTTAAGCGTAAATGTATTCACGAATAATAAAAAAAATCTAATTTTTGTTTTGGTACGTTTATGTCAATTCGTACCTTTTGTGAACAAAAAGTACGCTTGTTACAAAATTAAAAATAGCGCAACTCTAATTACTCTCTCAAGAGAGAGAAACTCTCAACACCGATCCCGATCCCGGCAAATATAAAACCACGCTTTCCCATATGTTGCTTTTACCGTATGATCATCAACGCCGTTACATTTGTATTTATGCGTCATTGTACTTCGATCATAAAGTCTCTCTCTCACTCAGTGACTAAATATTCTCTTAAACATACATTTTTTCTATAATTTATTTTCAATTGTTTTGATTTGTGTATTTATACAATTTTTTGTATTTAATAAATATTTAAATGATATGAAGCATGTTGAAATATTAAGTATTGTTCAATTGCCGCCAAAATATTGTATTATTTGCAATGTACTTATCGATGAGGGTGAGGATTTAAGCAGGCATTATGAAGAACATCGTATGAAATTTCTTGCCAACATTACTGATGGGAATATTGAAGAAATATCAGAGGATACTGCAGAAGAGGAGGAATTCCAGTTGGAAGAATTTTTAACAGTAAGTTAGACAAAAGATTTTCTATGGTTTTTAATATATGATTGTTCAATATTTTAGTTTCCCAATGCTGGCAATGGGAACGTTAAAAACATATCAGTGAAAGTTCCACCAAGTGATCTGCCCCAATTGGAACTTAAGAATTCAAAACTACTAGCAGTAAGTAAAGTAACCGTTATATAGAATTT